TTGATTTCCGCGTTGTCCGTGCCGTAGGTAGGGCTTGGGTAGTAGAGCAGGGTGTAACGAGGTGGCGGATGAAGAGGAACTGAGAGCCTGCAGTGTAGGGGGAAAGCCGCAGGAGCCCAGAGGGGGTCGGTGTACTGAGCCTGGGCCATCAGTAACCGCACCGGTGACCCCGTTCCGAGTTAACTGTCTGTCTTCCCTTTAGCAGCCAGCAAGTTCTCTGTCGGGGCACGGGGGTGCAGAAAGTCAGAACACGATGAGGGATAGTTCAGCATACAGCTCAGCTGCTCTATCAGTGTCAGATTTGTGCTGCACCCCCTCCAGCACTAGGTCACACCTCTTTCTCTGGAGTACAGCAGGAGACTTCAGCTTGAGTGCCTGCTTGTATGAGACCTTATGAGGTACCTTCCAACAAGGTGCACTTCTGGGCTCAGAAAATCTTGGGGAGTGACCATTATTTTATTTGCTTTTTGAGTAGTTCTTAAGTAAACCTTGCGTTTTCCTTCCAAAATAAAGAATAGCTTGAAAATGTCGGAGTTCATGTGTCCTAGTGGGGCTTCCAGCCCACTTGTGTTTTTCCTTGTCTGGGAGTTAAGAGAGAAATGCAGAGTACAGTCTACTAGTGCAGCAGGACAGAAATCATTCTGTTCCACCAGATGGAGTTACTGTTAGTTTCTGTAATGCTGATTTCTAAGGAGTCCGTATCAGGATTTTATTATCGTAGGGAAACACAGCCTAAAAAAAGCAACCCTGATACTGTTTGTGATATCAGAAGTGATAAGATAGATAAAAATGGAAAAAGTAGTGGTCTCAATATATGTGACTTAAATGATTTTGTGGGCAGTTTTTCTGAGCGGTGATCTGGACAATCAAACCCTCCTTTGCACCCTCCCTCCCTTTTCTTCATGCAGAGAATAACAAACTAGGAAACAAACTTTTATATGCTTTACTTGCTTTTACTTCATTTCACGTCAGCATTGAGATATGTACATATTTGGTACATACCAGCCTGTGAAAGAATGAACAGGCTGTGGGTGAATACAAGACGCATCATTTTTTACAGTTGGGAAATCTGGATCCGAATACAAGGTGGCTGGCATTTTTGTCCTTGTTAAGGTCCACTCATGTAATTTACCCCAAATCAGGTGTTGCTTATGGTAATATCTGCACATATTCAGCATTTTATAAGAACACATTCAGCTTGGTTTTCCTGAGTTTAAGTTGGTAATACCTAGGGGGAACGTTCAGCACACTTTTGACTAGGAGGAGGAAAAGAATTTTGTGATAGCATACCAGTTTTGTTTGTGGGACTGCATAGTAAATTGGTCTTAAATGGGAATGCATACAGGTATTGCATTAATGCAGTAGTACTGAGGTCACTGTGCTGGTATGATTCCTCATGTGGTTCAAAGCGATGCAAGATATACTGTGAGAATAAAATTCCGTTGTTCCTGCAAAAGAGAATCTACCTAAACAGTTGGACTTGGGTAACTATAGTAGGATGGTTCGACTGATGGTAAATTTTTGCAGTGCAGAGAAATTTTTCTCCAGTGTTTGTCAGAAACTGTGGAATTGCCATTCTGCATTCTATTCTTTACATTTTTTTTTAAACTTTAAAAAAGTGTAACAGTTGTCATCTTTGAGGTTTTTTTCCAAAATATTAATTTTAAACATTAAAGCAGCTTTGAAAGGCTCTGGTGAGGTTTTTGGGTACTTTTTGACTTTTGGAGCTTCTTGAGCTGAGTGCTAATGCCTGCTCTTGCTCAAGGAAGAGAAATGAACATCATTTGGAATTTAACATGCATGCCCAAGATACTTTGTAGAATCAGATATATTGACCCCTTCACTTTCTTGTTTGATAATCTACCAAACAAAATAAAATGCTCCGTGTGAATGCTGAGCCTTAGTGCTGCTTGTTTTAGACAAGCATCATGCTGAGTAGTGGTGTGGCTAGAGAGAAACCCTAAACATGTCTAAAGACTGTGGGGTATTTTTTCATTTTTGAAATTTAATGTATATTTAAACAAGTTCTTAATAGATTGAATCATGTAGTTGTCTCCTGCTCAAATGTAATAAGCCACTTTTGACCTCATTTTGCTATTCTAGGGTGCAGTAGAGCCCATGCAGATTGACGTAGATCCACAAGAAGATCAGCAAAATGCACCTGATATCAACTATGTGGTGGAGAACCCCACTCTGGTATGTGCTGGTTGAGAGCTAGTGGGTTACATTTCTTGGGCATGGCCTCTTCCTATAACGTTTTTGAAAAACTCCCTCATTTTACTCCTTGTCAAATTGTTATTTAGAGATTAATAGATTCTTTTCAAAGCAAGATGGGATAAGAATAGCACTGACGTCTTCTGTAGCTCCTTGTCACGTACTGACCTCTACTGCACCTTCTGAGATGAAGGAGGAATTGCTGTTTTGTGACTTGCTGCGTGCTGCCTGTTTGACACAGTTTCCTTTCTGAAATAGTTTAGTACATCTCTGATTACTTACAGAGACATCATTCCTTTATTTTGAGGCTTGTTCTTTGAGGAGCAAGGCTCAGGTGCTTTAAGTATATAATTAGGATAGGATTCTTTCATTGTTTGATCCTCTGGAGACTGGCTAAAACCCACAGAGCTGTAGAGTTATAAAAGGCTGTATTTGCTTCTATTGGTTTCTTTAATTTTTAGTTAATGGTTTGAGATTTTGGCCAATTTTTGTGTATCAGCTCTGTAACAGTGAGAGATGAGTGTTGCAGAAGAGAACAAAAATGTTAATTGGAAAAAGTTAAAGCAACATTAAAATTGCAAAATGAAGCATTCAGTTAGGAAGCTTTGGATCTCACATAACCTCTGAAGCATTAATTTTTTCCTCTTGTCCCCATGCCTGACAACAGTTGTCACGTGATTATTCACTGTTTACTGCACAGCCGTCTTTGTTTGGTTTTGGGTTTTTTTGTTGGTTTTGGGTTTTTTTTTCAGCATATGGCCTGATAGCTTGTTTGATTTCATTGCATTTCAATTCTGTTCTGAAGCTAGAGTGATGAAGCGATTATGTTGTGACCTTTATGTTTTTGTTATTATTATAGCATCTAAATGTTCCACAAAAATTAGTGATTTTCTTTTCACTGTAACTGATGTGAAAGACCATAACTCCCCTTTGACATTCAAAGAACTGAGGAGTACAGTGAAATTACTGAGTGATTTCAGGAGTATTGTGCACCATCAGGCATGAAACTGTGGAAGAAAGAATGCTCCTGCCTTTATATTTTTCAAGTTCTGTAGCAAATAAAGCAGGAATCCTAAATACAAATTTTCAGTGTGCACAGTCCTGTTTCGGTCTCAGAGCAAGATCATTCTTGCACTGAATCAGACAAGAATCATGTTAGAAAATGCTACCGTGACATCTATAGCAGTATCTTAGTTTAGGCATACAGGGGTGAGGGAGTCAGATGTGACACAGGATGCATATTAAATGTGGACAGGCAGCCTGAATCTGGTGTTTCCTACTGCCTGAATGCTTGACTTTGCCCTGAACATTCTGCTATGGTTGTTTGCATGTGTACTTCTGTCTTTAGGAAATCCCCCTGCAATGATGTATCATATCTTTGCTAGATGTTTTGTGCTCCTATTCTCCCACTCCACCCCAAGGCTTAAAATCTGTTAAGTGTTCAGAATTTACACCTCAGATCCTTCCTCAAGAGACACTATTTGTTCTCAAAGGAGATGTTTTAAGAAATTAGTATGAGCAAAAGAATGCAAATTGTCGTATGGAAACTATTTTTCAAGGAAAAACTACATCTGGAAAGGTTGTCTGCTTTAAGAAACTTCAGATCAAATGATGGAATCTTGACAAAATTATTAACAGGTAATATAACAGAAGCTTAAAGTGGGTGAGCTGATTAGCCTTAATGGATAGCGTCACAACTGAAATAAAAAAGGTGAATTGGTACATACTGCATACTGAGGAAATTACTAAAATTTGAAGAAAGCAGAAGCGGAATAATCTTACCTGTTCTTTTTATTTGTCTGAATCATTGCCCTCCATGAAGGGGTCAGGACTGCAGGAAAACCTATGCAGGTCACAGTGTAGTAGCCTGATTTAGTGTTGCTGTCTTTGCTTACTAAGACCAGGTTTTGTTTGCAGGATTTGGAGCAGTATGCGTCCAGCTACAGTGGTCTGATGCGAATTGAGCGGCTGCAATTTATTGCTGATCACTGCCCACAGCTGCGGGTGGAAGCTCTCAAGATGGCACTGTCATTTGTCCAGAGAACTTTCAATGTTGATGTGTACGAAGAAATTCACAGAAAGTTGTCTGAGGCCACCAGGTACTAAGAGATCACGGGAACTGGGGGAGCTTTTTTGACTGCGTTGAGACCAATGTGCCACGGTGGGGGACTTTGCATGTAATACTAGCATGTTCCTTATGCAAATTGTCTTTGCCCTTATAATTTGATAGCAGTGAAACACGTGTGTGTGTTCAGGCCTAAGGTGTCATGCTTTTTTAAAAGATTAAACACAGAAGACGTTATCTCATTTGAAGTCTTAGTGTTTTAAAAGGCTACAGGTAGGTATTGAGGAGAGTTTAGTCCTTGCAACTGCTTCAAATATTAATGAACACAGTTGTCTTTCCTTAGGTAGATTACAGAGTTGAAGCCTCTTCTAGATGGTCTTTCATTCATAAATTAAAACCTTCTCTAACTGTTTGCCTTGTTTTGGTTTGTTTTTTTTTCTTTTTTTCTTTTTTTCTTTTTTTCTTTTTTTCCTTTTTTTTTTTATTTTTCTTTTTTCCCCCTAACAACAGGTTTGCTGTTAAGGGTAGCCTTTGATACCTCACTTATCCATCCACACTTCCTGCCTTTGCATTGGTTTTGTTGCTATGCTTATTTGTTGATTTCTTGTCTGTTTTGCCCTGAGAGCCTTTACCGTGTATGTGTGATGGTATGTTCATTGGTTTCTTATATGTGAAAAGTACTGTTGGTAAAAAACAAACAAACAAAAAACCCAAAAAACTCAGAATGGGTTTTTCTGTTTAAAATATTGGAAATTGAGTTCAGTGCAAGTAGATATGTTGATCTGAGCTGGATGGAAAAAGTTGAATAGTATCTGTACCATGTAGCTTTGCTATCAAGCCATTGCAGTGTAGCTGGGGAGAGAACTCGTAAACATGTGCACCCTGTGTCCCATGTAGAGATGTTTGATTGGATTCAATGACTTCAGAGTCATTAAATACTTTCATAGAATATAATAATTCATTGCAGCACTGTTAGTAACTTAGAATTGATTTATAGAGCAGGTTGTTTCTTTAAAATTAGCAATGACTTGCTTGTAAATAAAATACCTGTAAAAGATCATTAGGATAATTTTGAGAAGAATTTGTAAACATCTGTGATTCTTATGTTACTGTTTTCACTGGAAATTTTAGCAGTCTTTTTTTTCCCCCACCATCCTTGTTTTCTCTTTGGTCTGCTTTGTGTACGCAGTACTATTTGTTAGGGTAACAGTGCCAGGTACTTAGCAGACCTCTGTTTTGAAATGTTTGCAGCATAATAGCTCCATTGAAACTCTTTCCTTTCAGAGAACTGCAGAATACACCTGATGCCGTCCCTGATAGTGGAATTGAACCCCCTCCTCTTGACACAGCTTGGGTTGAAGCTACACGCAAAAAAGCTCTTCTTAAACTGGAGAAACTCGACACAGATCTGAAAAATTACAAAGGGAACTCCATCAAGGAGAGTATCAGGTGAGATGCAGAGGGCTCTGCTGGAGCAAGGAAGAGCATTTTGCTCCTCCAGGCACCTAACACAGACTGTCAACTGCATTCAGTGCCTTAGGTCAGTGTGTTGAGTTACTTGTTTGGAACAGACTGACTGTGTCCCTTTCTGAGCATGCAGTTCATTGGTATTTTAATTCCTGTGCTCCAGGAGAGGCCACGATGACTTAGGTGATCATTACCTTGACTGTGGGGACCTCAGCAATGCTCTCAAGTGTTACTCTCGAGCCCGTGATTACTGCACCAGTGCTAAACATGTTATCAACATGTGTCTCAATGTCATCAAGGTAGGAAGGTTTGAGAAAATGGTACTTGGTGTCTTTCTGATATCTGCTGTGAAGTCCACCTGTACTTTGCTCTGGTTACACCTCTTGTGTCTGCAATGGTACTGCTTATCTAAGTAACACCATTTATCCATGCCTATTCTACCCTGTTTCTGGCTCTCTACAGGTCAGTGTCTACCTCCAGAATTGGTCTCATGTTCTGAGCTATGTAAGCAAGGCTGAGTCTACACCAGAAATTGCAGAAGTAAGGTCCTGCTTTTTAACTTGCAGTTAAAAAGTTTTAAAAAGTTACAGTTTTCCCTTTGTTCTCTGTCTCCAAAATGTGTAAAATGATTTCTTCCTTTCCCCCTTTACAACTTGCTCCCTATAAGACTCCCTTTATCTTACAGTCTGTTCTTCCTCTAATCCAGCCTCCTTGGCTGCTATACTGTTTGAGATTCGTGATTGCTTTTGTCCCATGATATGCGTGTAGGAAATTTGACTCATGGTAAAAACAGAGAGACTTCCCATCCTCAGTTCTTGCCATATTTCCCAAGACAAATAAGATGAAGTAATCTTGCTATTGAGATATGCAAGTTAATTATTAGGATGAAATATCCCAAGGACAGTTGTAATCAAAATGGTTTTCATACTGCTTGCTCACTGCTGCTTTTTCTTATCCTTTAGCAAAGAGGAGAAAGAGACAGCCAGACACAAGCAATTCTCACCAAACTGAAATGTGCAGCAGGTGAGTGAAACCTTCAGCTTCCTGTATTGTCCGCCCGTCTTTCTGCCTGTTATCTGTCCGTAGGGCTCTTTGACAACAGTGTGTGCTTGTTTTATTTTTCCTCTCAGATCTGACAGCCTTTGTATTTTCTTACCAGAAATGCAAAATTTAATAAAGCTGATGAGATGGAACTGCTGACTTGTTTTTGCCATTTCTTTCTTCTCCCTAAGTTTCTTCAGAGAGGATGCCAGTGTGAGTCAACATAGTTCAAAGGATGCTGGATACTCTCTGAGAGTCTCATTTCACTTCAGTAGTGAAGGCACTAGCAACCATCTGGGGGCCTGTCCTACTCCCCAGATTTTGCAATTTCTCCTAATTTTTATGCTGTCATAAACAAAGGACTAACTTTTTCTGGTTCTTAGGCTTGGCCGAACTAGCTGCTCGGAAGTACAAACAGGCAGCAAAGTGCTTCTTGTTGGCATCGTTTGATCACTGTGATTTCCCTGAGGTGAGGACCAAGAGGGAGCTGTGTGCAGGTCTTGGAGGGGATGTAATTCTTCTAAGTATTAGGTTGTAAAATTCAGATATTTTAGTTATTCTCACAGTACTCCTGTATAGATTGGTGGTGCTGTGACCCATATCTGGTTTTTGGTTTTTATTTTTTGTTTGTTTGTGGTTTTTTTTTTAAGTCTCTGTTCCTAGGATCTCTAAATGATCTACTCTAGATCACATAGGAATTACCTGCAAAATTTGTGTATCTGTGTAGTTCAATCAAAAGACTGGCTGTTGGAATTGGTTTCTGCTCTCTTAGCAGTGCACAATCACTCCTCAGGCTCTGGGTGAATATCTGAGAGCATGTTGAGTGGTTCCACTGCATTTGACAAGGACTAATCTTGTCACTGTGTGAAGGAAAAGCCTGTGGCAGAATACTTAATTCCAACCTTCTGCCATTTTAGTAGTCAGTGACAGCTTGCTCTCACTTTCTCTCTCTAGCTGTTATCTCCTAGCAATGTGGCTGTATATGGTGGTCTCTGTGCCCTTGCTACCTTTGACCGTCAGGAACTGCAACGAAATGTTATCTCCAGCAGGTAAATGTTGCCTTGAGAGGAGTTTGTACATACTGGACGTCTTCTGGGACATGGGACTTTGGTTAAGAGTGGATTCTGGCAGGAGTTACAGCTTTCTCATACAGGAGAGAAAGAATCACTGAGCCTTAGTTTGGCTTTAGCATTAAGTGATGTTTTGCTGTCTACAATGCAGCTGAAATTTTCATAGTATAATGGAAATTTCCAACCCGGATCAAATCTGACATCTACATAACCCAATTTTCTATCTCCATTGGCGATCCATATCAGATAGTAAATCAGAGGGATAGAGCCCTATAGAAGGTAGCTGTAAGATAATTTGCCTTCATGTTACCACTTGTTCTGGTGTATGTTAATTGTATTAGTACAATTTAATAATTGTTAATACAACTTGCAGCATAATCTAACTATGACATGTAGAGGGTTAAGAGAATTACAGTCTTTGGAAGAAAATGGATATTTGTGTGTCAGATTGAATTACCATGATACTAAATTCCTGACAGCTAAGTGAATGGAAGCACTAATTTTAAATTGATGTGGAAAAAGGGTTATTACCCTGACTTTTTTATTGGCTGATTCATAGGATGAGATCCCAAGGTTCAGAAATCTGTGATGGAGAATTGGGAGACTGCTCAGAAAGAGGGCACATCCCAAAGATCTCCCACACTTACAGTAGGTCATTTTCCTGAGACAGTTGCACGCTTAACCTACCTATGGCATGCTGTACTTAGTGAAGGCTGTGCTTTGAAAGGGAACGCAAAGCTGGCCAGCACCAACTACAGTGCATGCACAGATGTGACCTATGTTTTCTGGTGGTATATCCTGATTTTGACCTATTCCCACTCATTTTTTTGTTTTGTGTGGACAAACACTTCTACTGTTTAGTTTGTCAAGTCTCTTGCCTTCCTTCATTACAGCTCTGATGCAGTGCTGCATCTCTCTGTGTTCCAGGCTCCCAACCCAGCTGAAAATGGGCTATCTGGTCTGTTAGAGAGTAAATTCTTGGAATCTTCAAATGATAGGGAGAGTTTGTAACCTTGCAACTTGGAATGATGGGGTTGTGGGATATTTAAGTGGTGGGTTCCAACATCTGATCACTGGCATCTTTATTTCTAGCTCCTTCAAATTGTTTTTGGAACTGGAGCCACAGGTTCGTGACATCATCTTCAAGTTTTATGAATCTAAATATGCTTCATGCCTGAAGATGCTGGATGAGATGAAGGTGAGTTGCAGGGGAGCAGTGCAGAACAGACCCTAAAAGTTCCCTTTGCCTAGCCTTTTGTGAGAAGCGGTGACTTAAAAGTAGCTGCTAAGGGTGTTCAGCTCTTCTGTGTCTTCTGTCTCCTGACATGGTGAATGGAATTTGGAAATAGTTTAGCAGTAGAGGATGAGGAGAAATGATAATTTCTTAAAATATATTGCTAGTTCTTTTATTCATTCTTGTTTTATGGTATTGTCTTGCTGTAGTGTAATATCCTTAAGGTTGAAGTATATATACATATGTGTTTCAGAACATAGGAATAATATATTTTTCCAGGCTGCTTATCAGCTTCTGATGAGGTTTTTTTTGCACAGGACAACCTGCTGCTGGATATGTACCTTGCACCTCATGTCAGGACACTTTATACTCAGATTCGAAATCGTGCCCTTATCCAGGTAATTGTTCCTGTAATCTTGAGAGGTGGATGAACAGTGAGATAGGCCATCTCTTTGTAATTGCTTTTCCCATGGCTTTTCAGAGGGCAGGGAGTACACTTGGTGACTGAATATTTTCTTTTTCCTAGTACTTCAGCCCCTATGTGTCGGCAGATATGCGCAAGATGGCCACTGCTTTTAATACCACAGTGGCTGCTCTGGAAGATGAACTTACTCAGCTGATCCTGGAGGGACTGATCAATGCCAGAATAGACTCGCACAGTAAGGTGAGTGCATCTGAGCCACAGATTATAGACTGAACAGCTATGCTAAGATTAGAAACTCTCCATTCCTGGGACGCTTTGAAGTTGCATTCACCTGTTGTGACTGGTATTTCCAATAGGGCTGATCTGAGTGTAAAATCAGACTCCATGATAACTTAGCTTTGTTCCCTTGCACAGAAGGGGCTTCCTGCTGTGGAACCTTGTCATAGCTCCTGTGTACAGTCCTCTGTATTGGTTACAGATTCTTTATGCTCGAGATGTAGATCAGCGCAGCACAACTTTTGAGAAGTCTTTACTAATGGGCAAAGAGTTTCAGCGACGTGCCAAAGCTATGATCCTGCGAGCTGCAGTCCTGCGCAACCAGATACATGTGAAGGTATGGGCATGTTAAATGTGGACTTTGAGACAGTGATAAGATTTATTTATTTATTTATTTATTTTTTACTGAAACTATAAAAGTTGATGAATTGAAGATTCTGGAGGGGAATGGATTTATTGTGCTCACGATTGGACAAATTCTTACAGTAGTAAATACTAAATATATAAGGAACAAGAATACATTGACCTGCTTGTACAACACAGAATGATGTCCTTTGAAGTGTATATGCTTGGGTTGATTCTAATTCATTCCAACTAACTCTTGATACATATATCTTTTATCTTATCAGAACAAAGATTGATTGAAGTATTTTTTTTTTTAGTAGAGGAAGTTAAAAAAAAAACCCAAACAAACATGAATTGCTTGGAGTATTCCTTCCAGGATGCAGTTCCAAAAGAATGCCCTTAGGGAGGACAGGCCATCTGCCACAGAACATGTTAAATTCTATTGTATATCAATCTCTGCGATACCTGAATGCCAGATAGGCTTCAACTTCTGGGGCTGACAGCACCTTGTACATAGGAAATAAGAGTGGCTTAAAAGTTATGGTTTGACTTTTTCGGAACAGTTCTTGTGAACAGTAACTACGGAAGTTGTAAACACAAAGCTTTTGCAAAGCCATCAATATTTATGAATTGGGGGTTTGTTTTCCCCCTGCGGTTATCCTGCTGTGCTTCACCTGTGCTTCATTTGGTCTCTCAGGAAACACTCTGCAGGATATTCACACATCACTAACTAGGATGTGTTTTGGTCTTGTTGCAGTCTCCTCCGAGAGAAGGTAGCCAAGGGGAGCTTACTCCAGCTAACAGCCAGTCCAGGATGAGCACCAACATGTGAAAAACTTCGTGCACTACCAAAAGAAATGGTCCCTCCAGGACTGTAGCCAGTGTCTCACCCGCTAACTGCTGAGCTTCACAAACTGTCCCTGTCTCCCTCACTTCTTGCTCGGATTGAGAGGGTCAGGGCTGATGGTGGAAAATATGAATATCCCAATAACTTAAATTCTCCTTGAAAAGAAATTATTTCTAAAAACAGCATCCCTGCAATGGGTCATCATTTCAGTTTTGGTAGAACATCTTTCTCCATTCTCCTTCTTCCACCACTCCATAAAGAGCTGTTAGGTTATTCATACAGATGCTGATTTGAGAGGTTTTTCACCTGCTATTAGTTTTCTTGTTTCAAAGCTGCAAAAATAGTTAGTGTTAAGTTGAATGGACAGGCGTGATCAAGTTGAATCTCGCTGGCCTGAAAGTATTGCCTTGATTCTGAGCAATGCTGAGCTTTCTGTTTGTTCCAGATAAACTTAGAAATGCATTGCTCTCAATTGTGGAGCTAGAGTTCTGATGGGAGAGGAGATTTCCTTTGATAAACTCTTACTAATTTTTCACCTACACAAGAAAACATGGCACTGCTTCCATGCATTCAGTCACAGGCCTTTATTTTAGGGTGTTATGTTTACTTGGATCCAGGTTCTTTCTCTCTGGTCTCTGTTTTCAAAGACCTGTTTCCTGATGTGTTTCCCATTTGTGCATGACCTGGCTTTGGGGTCCAGTGTTACCATAGCAGTAAACCTCTAATTCATGCAAATACTGCTGCTTGTCCAGTCTTACTGCCATAGTGTGTGATGGTTTCCCAACATGTGCAACAGTTGCTTCTGGTAGCAGGGATAAATGCCATAAAATACCACTCAAGTCCTGTGGAAGAGCTGAAAGCCACCAGTCTAGGTGCCCGCTCTCCAGTTGCATTTATTCTGCTTTTCCTTTTATAAAGGGATTAAAGGTGGCAGCCCAGGTGTATGCGTGTTCTGTGTTAATGAAAGGAGATATGCACTGAATTTTCTGAAGTCACTGCAGCCTTGCATTCATCTGATCCATAAGGCAAGCTAAGAATTTTGATCCAGCCCTGACTGGTCTGGCAACTGACTACAGATGTTACTGTTAATGTGTTAATGCCTTTTTTTTTTTTTTTTTTTTTTTTTTTTTTTTTTTTTTTAATTTTAATAAGTTGTTATATCTAGTGCATTAAACAGCAGGATTAAAAAGCTTCTGAGTATTTGCAGTTTTGTGTTAAAGTTGGGGTTTAGGTATTTTGATCTCCCACCACTGATTTTTTGCTAAGCTTGATGATGTTTTTGTAGGCCATTGTATTTTGCTTTCTGATCTGGTTGGAGATGTAGCTTGGATGAACTGTGAAGAAAGTGCAATTTGAGGGAACGTTCTAACAGCAAAATTCCTGGACTGCATTTGCACAGCTGCTAAATTGTAACAGTGCTCTCTCCCTCTGGCTTTCTGTGCTTTTTATGACTTAGGTGCTGAAAATGGAAGCAGTAGTTCCTGTGAGGTCTCCTGTGAGGTCTTTGGTTAAATGTCTTCCATTTGGCATGGAAAAATTCTCCCATTTTTGAGGGGAGAAGGGAGAGAGCTAGTTAATCAAGAACTTTTAAGTCAGGCATCACTGATAGCCAGTTTAGTGAGAAAGGCAAGTTGAGTCCTCGGGTAAATTGCTGTACGTCTTTGTAGAAATGCTGGAAAAGTAATTTATTTTAATGCCTTCTGCTCATGCTGAAGGAAAGTCATTCAGTCCTACTTAAACATTCTTGCTTTCTTCCTAAAATGGGCCACTGATACCATTTCTAAGGAAAAGTTCTTATGCTCTGCTCTTGAAAAGATGGTCTTGCAACCCAATTAAGTGCATCATGTCAGCTGGCTATCTTTGCTTATGCCACGCTTCCACTCTCTTGATTTTATTAGATTACTTCTGTTCCTTGCTGGAGGCTGTCCGCTGGAGGAATCCTCAGTTGTAAAATGGACGTCTTCAGCATGCTGACTTGAGAGTCTCTGCTCTTCCAGATGCTAGGGCTTGTCCGCTCTCGGGAAGTGGCTGGAAGCGCGTATCCTTTAGCAATCGGCATGGAGCCCACGAGGTGGCAACAGCAGTTTCCAGCTCTTGCTGTGGCCCGAGGCAGTTCCCTAGCTGGGGCAGAGGTGATCAGTATCTTCTCTCCAGACAAAAATGCTTACAACCTCTTCTGAACAGATAAAGCGTTTCTCTTTTATTGCTTAGTTCATTGACACTGTTCAAGCATAGTATATGCTTTTGTATAGAATTACTGGCATGTAACTCCTTTAGCCTGAGAAAGAAGATGTTGTTGCTTTAGGATTTGTACATGTGAGTCAGGGCTATCCAGGTAAATTTCTTCTAGACATTGTTCAATGTCTGCTTCAGTCCTAACTACCTGCCAGTCCAAAAATCAGAAAATATAACACAGCACGGATATAGTTCTGTATAACTTGCATTCAGAAGCAGTTTCCCACAATGTAAATTTCTAAGTAATTTCCCAAGTAATAAATGAGAAAATAGTGACTCGCATAGAATGAATTTCCAGTGATTCCCTGTGACGACTAAGGTATTTCAGGGGATTAAGTTTTGTGGGATCTGTAGCATGTTGGTATGTCTAGGATATGTTCAGAGAAACTTACTTAAGTGGATTTCATGAACTGCTGCAGTACCTTTTTGTTGATGAGGAGGGAGGTGCCAGTGGTAGGCCATAATTGATAGTGTCCTCATGCAGTGTAAATCCTGCTTTCTTTACCTAACCTAGCTAGGAATAAAGGAAAAACAGTTGGAAAGAACCTTCTTTTGGTTCTTTTGGTGAAGGCAGTTTTAATTAGCATAACTAATTTTAGTGGTAATGTAGAAACTGCCGTTATGAGATTTGTTTGGGGGGTGATTGGTAATTACCTGGCCAGAACTTGTCCAGCATAATGGTCTGTGTTGCTAAGATTTGTAGAGGGAGGTCTGTAAGAGGGGAGATTATATTACCACTTGGACTGTGGCTGGGTGCAGGATCATCTGTAAGCTGCTGTTGTCTGAGAGACGTCAGTAGATGAGGGAGAAAGTAATAGAGTTCCGTCTTTGCCCCATGCCATGCATGTATGATCTGTACATTGGTTTCTGGGACTCTGTCATAACTGTCTCAGTATTACTTCGTAACCTAGTTGAAATTTCAGCATTGTTACATCCTCTGGACAGCTCCCAAAACTGACGCTGAATAATATATTATTTCTGATACATGCAATGTAATATAAACTTTCAGAAAAACAAATGAGGAAACTTTAATAATAGCAACAATGCTTCTGATAAAGATCCATCATGCATAGGTAGAAAGTGCTGGTCAAGCATTTATTTATTTATTTATTTTCTTAAGAGTAAAGTCTTAGCCAACTTAATTTGGCTATTTGACGTTCTTATGCCATCTCCTTCATTACTTTTATATGAAGCAGATGATAATGGGGGAGCAGTGTGCTCCACAGGACAGCGCTCTTAGTATTTTCTTGTGCCACCCTCTTGTGACTAATACAAGTTAGCATTTCATGTTATCAGTAGTCCCATCAGAACACGCTGTAGGATGAAAAATACCAAACTGGTATGGAATAGACTTCCGCTTATCTCTGATGCTGTTAGGGAGTAGGGGATGAATTACTCTCTGCTTTGCAAATGAGCTTTGTACTTCAACTGATACTATTTTGGCTTCTGCGTTCCTATGGATCTGTGATTTCCATTCAGTGTTTCATAGGGTCTGATAGAACAACCTAGGTTTAGATTATCTCATAGGGTAACTTGATCACGCTAAATTAATTAGATAGGGAACAGAAACTGGCTAGTTAAATTTGGTAGTTAGAAGTTTGGTAAATTAATAATACATATAAGACAGTTTCTTGACAGCAAAGAAATAATTCAAGCTTAGGTTTCAGTAGACTTATTAGAAGCTAGACTGAAGGGTGGCAGCATTAGCAAGAGGTGGTCTAATTTGAACAAGAATTCAACTGGCAAGACCTGAAAATCTGTCTTATGTGGTAGATCAGGCTAGGTAATCTTCTTGTCCTTCATCCCACAGGTATCACTGTTTCAGTTCTCTAATACTTCTGCAGATACAGCTTTGACCGTTATTCTCCGTGTGCCTGTAGTTTATGTAACTGTGAAGTCTGTGTGTACATGAAGTTTGTACCCTGTAAATATGTGCTGAGATCCAGGGTTTTGAATCTTTGTTTTGATGTACTACTTTTTGTCTGTGGTTTTGTGGTGTTGGTTGGTTTTTTTTTTTTTTTTAATTCTCTGATATCTCGTCTCATAAGCTGTTTGCCAAATAAAGGCAGTTGGCTTTCATTTTGTCAGGTGAACTGCTACTACTTTTTCTTGTGTGCCTCTGAAACTGGATTTAGATAGAAGAATCCAATCCCCCTCAAACCCAAAGACTGAGGAACATTTTCACTATCATTCTACATGCAGAGCACTGCCTTTCTCTCCCTCCCCCCTGTTTAAATTAAATAGTGTATATCTTCTAGAGGGCCTGTGAAACAGAAACAAAATAGGACATTACCTTGCTGAGTTGGCAGGCTGCAAAATTTTGATTAGAGATAAACAGGGTAATTAGTATATTGCCTAGCCTGAAAGTAATCCCTAGTTAGTGTAGGTGCAGGTGTGCCCAACATGAATGGTAACTGGCTCAGCTTTACTCATGTTGTAATAGTGCCTCCTAATTCACAAGCATTGTTTATTAAGAAATCAATAGACTGGTCATCTTTACCTTATTAATTGCGAGGTTATTATCTTCTAGAATGTCTGTTGAAAGCTCAGGTTGCAACTTTTTTTTCCCATTAGCGTGGTGATTTGTAGTTGGATGCACAAGGGGAGTTTTGTGTTGCAGTGCCTAACCAAACAGTATTCCAGTCTGGTGTTAGGAGCACTGCAGTCTCCTGCCATGTCATAGGTCAGGAGCTAACAAGATAAGCGTGCATCTATCTGCATCGCCTATTAAGAAATGCCTTGGAAGAGGGGGTGGGGACGAATGTGACTTAAATACTAATTCTGTATAGAAATGTGTCCATTTCGGATTCTCAAGTATAAGGCCCTTCCTGAATTTAGCAGCCTAAAGCCAGCTTGATCCTTTCTTCACACTGGTAAGTGATTCTGTGATGAGACTGTACTTGTGAGAGATGGGTTCTAAAATCCCACTGTGTGGTTAAGAATATAACCCAAATCTCTCACATAGCACCAGTCCACTACTGTGTTGTAACAGTGGATGTTTCTCATGCAAACGCCTTTTCTGACTTTGAAAATTTTCTCTGGCACAGTGAGCAGGAGAATGACTGAGCTTTCTGATCTTTTGGGGAAACTGTAAACGAGAAGGGGTCAGGTAAGCAGTTTGAAATTTCATGA